CACCCGCCCATCCAAGTAGGGACCTCTCTAGCTGTAGGTATTAGGCCCACACGAGCCTCGAGGCAAGCTTTGTTTCACGAAATAGTCGCTCCTTTGTTGCTGGTTTTCATTGGCTGCAATTTACTTTGCCCACTGGAAAGGGTAGCTGCTGTTGACTCAGCCTACCCCATTATTCTTTCGATAGGGTAAGTCCCGTGGGAAGGGCGCCTCAGCACACACGTGGCAACAAGTGCTTGGAGCAAGTTTTAGTTGGTGGTTACAAGTTTTTCATCGCAAGTTCGACAGACAGGGAGTTTGACAAGGACGGCTGCGAGTTTTCTGACAGGTATTTACTTGCTGGATTGCAGCGCGGTGTGGTTACAATGGAGCAGAATGGTTCAGGTGGAGATGGAGCCCAATCAGCGCAGGCAGCAGCGGCCCAAGCAGCTCAAGCACAAGCAGCTGGAGTTTTTCAGGATTAGGTTGACAGAATTGTGAGGCAGCGGTTGGAGCAAGCTCTTGGCAATGTTTTCACCAAGGTGTTGTCAGCTACCGAGGGCAGCACAGGCAGCGGAGGCTCAGGCTTCTGCTTCAAAGACCGATGGCCTTGTAAAGGCCATGAAGGTAGAGGCTTGGAAGCCCGCAACAAGAGAAGAGGAGCTGAAGACCTGGAGAGATTGGTACTTTCAGCTTACTACTTGGTTGATTGCAAATGACAATGGCTATGAAGATGAGCTTGGTCAGATTGACCCCGACAGTCCGGTGGATCATGATTTGCTGGAGGATGAATCAGTGCAGCGAAGCCAAAAGCTGTATGGCCTGCTTTGTTCACTACTCAAAGGGCGACCTCTACTGCTCATACGTTCCTTGGAGAAGGAGAAGGCTGGATATGAGGCCCTTCGAATCCTAAAGCGCGAGATGGAGCCGAAGGAGAGAGCCAGAAGTCTGGCCATCACTAAGCAGCTGGCATCTTGGCAATTGAAAGAAAGCACTGGGCTGCATGAGCAACTTGTGGCCTATGAAGAGGCTTTGCGAAGTTATGAGGCGAGCTCTGGAAACTCCTTTCCAGACGACTTGATGGTTGCTACCGTGGTGACAGGGTTGAAGGAACCCCTCAGGTCACAGGCGCAGCTGCGAATGAGATCATCGACAACGTACAGTGACATTAGAGAATGGATCCTGCAGTATGAGAATGTGAACGCCCTGGAGCTCTTCATTGGCTCAAAAGGGAGCTACTGCCAACACAGCCAGCGGCCCTCAGCCCATGGATGTGGACCAGGTCCAGGCCTGAGCGTGGGAAGCATGGCAAAGACAAAGGAAAGGGTGGAAAGCAAGGCAAGGATAAGAAAGGCAAGCAACAGCACCAATGGCAAGGAGGCAAGCAGCAGCACCAATGGCACGGCGGCAAGCAGCTGCAACATGGCAAAGGCAAGCGCCAGCAGCCATACAGCTGGGGGAAAGGAAAAGGACATGATGCGTCCTCCTCCTCTGGCAAAGGCTATGGTGGTGGATGGGAGCCCCAAAAGGGCAAGAAGGGCAAAGCCTATGGGGCCTGCAATGCATGTGGACAATATGGCCACTGGAAAAATGAGTGTCCTTCCAAGGGGAAGGGCCAGTCAGTGCGGCAAGTTGAGGATGCACAGTCTCAATCTGGGCAATCGGTGGCGGCCACTTCGGCAGTGTCAGCCAGTGCCTCTACTTACAGAGCACCAAGCGCAGTGCAGAGGGTTGAAGCTATTCAGCTTTATTTACCCCCCCGGGCTGCAGCGAGACACTTATCTTTGACATCTCTGAGATTGACTGTGACCCTGGTGACTTGGATGACTTCAGCTTGCCTGGCGTGAGAATGATACAAACGGGACCTCAGCGCTTTCAGATGGACGCAACAGACAATGATGATTGCTGGGAAGTGTGGCACCCCTCTGCCCTTGATGCTGACTTGGTTTCAGAAGGTGGCAATGACACTCAAAAGGTTGCTGCTGGAGTGCAAGTCATTGAAAGTGGTGGTGGATACCAACCGGCTTTGGATGTGGTTGTTGACTCTGGTGCTGATGTCTCTGTGGCTCCTCTGTCCTTCAGGCACAGTGGTCAGGCGGCTGGACATACAGGAATCCTCATGCAGGATGCTCAGGGCGGAGGATTCAAGGAGTGGGTTCAAGGATTTTGAGTGTTGCTGTGAAGGATGTGGATGGCCGACCTGTCCAAATTCGAGAGCGGTTCTGCGTTGCAAATATCGGCTCTGTAATCCTTTCACTGGGCCGTTTGATCAGAGCTGGATGGAATATGTCACATGGAGCTTTTGGACAATGCCTGGTTAAGGATGGATGCTCAGTGCCAATCAGGTTGCGCAGAAACACCCTGGTCATGGCAGCAGTGGTTTCAGCAATAGCAATGTTTGATGCGGGGCCGCTCCCACCAGAAGCCGAAGAAGTTGCCTCCCAGGCGGGGTGGCGTATCATGCCCTCAGGATTGCCACTACGTGTTGTGCACGCTCTGCTTCGATTCCACTGGAGGACTCCCTTTGGAGCACTGATGACTGGTCATGGGTGAGTGTGTTCGTTAGAAAGGATGTGGCTACAAGGCAGCCTCAGCCAGGAGATGTTTGGCTCCAGGTTTTGTCAATGAGCAGCCACGACTTTGAGAGGCACCGCCGGCAGCTGATCTTGATTGATAGCGAGCTGCATGGCGAGCATGACTTGTGTATACTGCTGCATGTGGAGGAGATCCCCACGAATGCTTTGACTGAACCTGGAGAGTTGTTTGCTGCGCCGTGTGAAAGGGACCCCCCTTTTGTTCCGGCGGGAGAGGAGCCAGGAGCTGGAGCCATGGTGGGTGATGTCATGGCGGAAGGGCGCCCAGTGAGAGGCGCTGAAGAGAATGAGGATGGTGACGTCAAGCTTGATGGCGTGCCGCTTAACATGGCAACGCCCCTGAAAGACCTCAAGGATCTGTGCGCGCAACTTGGCCTGGCTACCAGCGGGGCCAAACCTACAGTCCTCAAGAGGCTCAGGGACCATCATGAGGTGATGGAGAAGCAGTTGGCAAGCGAAGTGGCCAGGAAATTGTTTCAGGAGCAGGAGAGAGCACCTGAGACTTTGAGGGCACCAGTTCTTCCCAGCGCAAGGCAGCAGGAGTTGCATGCGATCACGCATCAGCCTTTTGCAAGCTGGTGCCCCTCATGTGTTCTGGGGAGGAGCAAACAAAGCCCTCACAAAGTCCTGGATCCAGACAAGAGGCCTGAACTTGGCGACACAAAACCGTGTATCCAAATTGATTACTGCAACACATTCACTTCGGAGAGAGGTGAAGGCCAGGCTGCTGATGGTCAAGATGGTGCAGAAGCACAGGCCGCTGTTGAGGAAGGTACAGAGGAGATCCCAGACTACAAATCAGTTTGGGCTGAATCTTGCCGGAGCTGAGCCAACCACAGGATGGGTGATTGCAATTCCCTTGATGGCGAAGGGATCTGCTTCCTTGAAAAAGGTTACAGAGCATATCACTCGTCTCAGCATGCAGGTTGGAGCTGGTGAGAGGATAGTGGTCCAAGGTGACCCGGAACCTGCAGTAAAGCAGGTCATCAACAGCGTGGAGGCCTGCAGAGTTAAGCTGGGATTGGCAACGGACACGAGGCTTGCGCCAAGAGGGTCACATGCCAGTAATGGCCTGGCTGAGAAGGCTGTGGATACTGTGAGGAGGAATGCCTTGACCCTGAAGGCACACGTCGAGGATCGCATCAAGGCAAAGATCGGTGGACATTGCCCAATCTTTGCGTGGCTTTTGAGGCATACAGCTTTTCTTCACAACCGTTTCTTTGTCACTGGCAAAGGTGCTCCACCCTTTGAGATTCTCCATGGTCGCCAGTACAAAGGGAAGCTGATTGTCTTTGGAGAGCAGTGCATTTTCCATAAGCCCTCAAAGTACAAAGGTGATGTGCAATGGCACAGAGGAATATGGGTTGGAGTTAATGAGCGCAATGGTGCACATGTCTTGCTCACCAATGAGGGTGCCTTCGAGAGTCGATCCATACGGCGGCTTCCAGGTGAAGAGCAGTGGTCAGCTGAGGCCGTTCTTCAAGCCCAAGGCTTGCCTTGGGACTACAAGGGCAAGCTCAAAAGGAAGAAGGCGTTGTGTGCCTCAGCCCGTGCTCCTCTCCTTCCTGACAATGCTACCTTAGAAGAGTTGGCCAGGGCAGCGGGAAAAGCGGCAGCAGAGACAATTGTGGCAGCAACTCCCAACCTCAGAAGGCATGATGATGAAGCTGGATCGGATCCCGAGACTTCTTCAGTCCCTTCTATGGGGGTTCTTCGAAGAGCAGTTCTGGAGCACAATCAGAAACCAGAGCAGTTCCAATCCAATCCGAGGGAGCATCGCCAGCGCAAGCAAAAGCAGTTTCAGTTCCGCCCAAAGCGGGAGCACAAGCAGAGGCCAAAGCAGTTCCAGTCCAATCCAGGGGAGCATCGCCAGCGCAAGCAAAAGCAGTTCCAGTTCCCAGGGCAGGTGAAGGCGTAGCCATGTCACGTGATGTGAGTGTACCGCTGGGTCCCAAGGTGCCAGCAGTTCCGTTGAAGGCAGGTCCAAGCGTGAGCATGGATGTCAGTGATAGGGGCACAAGACCTGTAGATGGTGGTTCAGAGTCAGCTGCTCCAAAGCGACCCAGGTTGATAGTGAGCAGGCAGGCAGTTGGGTCGCCAACCAGTGCTGGATCATTGTACCCTCCAGGGTATGCTGGCGTTAACCTCATCCATGGAGATATGGGAGCGGGTCAAAACCAA